GTTACAACTTAAATAACTAATAAAATACGAATTTCAAGTTTAAATTTGTGCTTTATTCTTTATGAACACAAACAGCAGCGGCTGTTTGAGAATACGGATTTTTTCTTTGAGAATACGAATTCACAACAGTGGTCTGACGTCACGGTTTCCAAGGCTGGTTAATGGAGCACAGAGCAGGAAGATAGGAGCCGCGCATGCGTACTATGTGTTCTTTCAACTTAGTAGCGGCAAGATGACGGACCAGGAAGCTACGGAGCAAAGCCAGGTAATCTTTAACATTTGTAACTTAAATCTTTATGTCTGTAGTTGATATTCAGACATCTAACTTTATTGAACTTTCTGTTAGGTACAGTTAGCGGATATCCTAAACACGGCACACAGTCTTGTGTCATTATTAAACCGAAGGTTAGGCTCTTCAGGGACTGTGAGGCCAGTTGCACAAGAAAGTGAAAGACAGTCTGTTGAGGGACAGTCGAGGCAAACAGAGACAGGTCCACAGTCAGGACAGCTAAGATGTCCTCAGCGCAGTGGTTCAGTTCATCAAGAAATGGCTCGGTAAGTTTCAACTTAGTCAGCCTGTGTAGCAAGTCTGCGGTCTGTGTTGATCTTCTGCATTTCTGTCAATTTAAATTTGATATTGAATAAAATAAGCTGTATAAACATCATCATCATCATTTTTTTCAGATCATTTCCTGGACTTTTTCGCCGAGAGACAAAAGGGAAAAGACGTTTTACACCGTATACCCGACCAAAAAAAAGTTTTCTGGTGAACTTTTTTCTCCTTGAGAAACAACGTTCCAAAACCCCCAAAGGAGACGAAGAACTCCAGCTTATATTGGCTGGTCTGGGTAAACGTTCTCTCTCAGTAACAGAGAGTTTAACACATACAGAGGTAATTTTTCTTTAAGTATAGTAGACTAAACTATAATCTGTTTCTTTCTTTCTTTGTTTCTTTTTGTTGTTGGAGCTATTCTATCCACTGACTTTTTCTGCATCCTGTGATAACTGAATGAGCCGATGTCTTGGCTGAATTTCCCCATATAATTATATATATTCCAAATCAATGATCTCTCCTTGGGTTACGGAATAGAAAATGTAGAAAATAATTGTATTTGTTATATGTATGATATTGACTAGTAACTGAACTTTTTTTGTATAAGCTGACAGATTTGTTGCTTAATGCATTTCCAAGGCTTGCAAGCATCAATGGTGGCTGGTTGCTATACAAGTCTACAGGTATGTTGTAATGAAACATAAACTGTTAAACTCATGTTATACAACCAGTTTAACTCGGTGAATGTGCATACAGTTGAGTAAATGATGTCTGTAAATGTTATATATTTCTAGGTGGTGGTGGGCAGCGCAGATTAGTTGTTATTCCTCCTGATTCTGATGGTTATAGTGGGCACCAAC